CAGGGTGGCGCTGGTGACTTGCCCGCTGGCTTTTAGCAGAGGGGGAAAATGCGTTAAATCTCCCTTTTGAATATGCGCCTTGAACAACTTCAGTTTGTTGACAAATGCAAACACACTTTGCACCAGGTCAGGCAGCATTTTTAACTTACCCTGCAGGGTCAGGTTCAGCCTGTCCAAGTGACACAGCATGTCGACCAAAAAGGCCAGATCCATAATCCACTTGAGGTCCGAGAGCTCGGGATAGTCCTTGTCCTTCTCTTCCATTAACAGTTTCACGGCATCCAAAAGGTCAAAGAAGCGAGAGAGTATCTGACCTTTTGACAGCCACCTCACAGTGCAGTACAGCGGCAGGTCACCTGGAAGCCCTTGGTCCAGCTCAGCGATGAGATTCTTGAATTGCCTGTGGTTAAGAGCATGTATGCGGATGTAGTTGACGATTTCCATCACAGGCTTCATGATGTTGTCTAAATTCAATGATTTAGACACGAGTTGCTCCCTGTGGATGATGCAGTGGAAATTCCAAAACTCAGGAAATGTTTGGTCAGCTTTGCACAGCCCCACAAGCCCGTTCACAGATCCGATCGTGGCTGGCGCTCCATCCGTGGCTATTGCAGTTAGTTTCGGTATGGGCAGATTTGCTTTCACAATTGCAGCCATCATTGTTTCTTTCACATCTATGCCACGGGTTCTGTCTTTTAATGGCACAATATCAAGGAGTTCTTCTTTGATCACACAATCGTTTGACACAGACCGTGCAAATATTGCCAACTGAGGCTTGTCTTGTATGTCACAACTCTCATCCAATGCGACACTAAAATACTCACATGCTTGAAGGTCAGAGTGCAACTATGATTCAATAGCCGTGTTAATGTACGATATTCTGTGTTCAACAGTGTGGCGGGACCGTTGGACGTCTGATACCATGCGTTTTAGTTTGTCGTTTTCAGGAGACAAGATTTCAACAACTTTCACTGAATGAACTTTGTTTTAATGAACTCCCCTTCATTGTATGGCTTTTTAGCCCGTGCAATGTTCCAAACCAGTTGATACGATGCGAGCGTTACGGTCTCTGAGCACTTCGTGAATTTTTGGAAAAACTGTACCTGCTTTTCTGCCTGACTTTTCAAAGTGACCAACTTGTGCTTGCGAAGTTCAGTCCCTTTTGGAAATTCCTGGTCGATGTTAGCATGGAGTGAGCTGAAGTGTATGGAGGGCTAAGAGTGCCAAAATTAAATAAATAAATACACCAATAATTAATTAAT